AGCTATCACCCGTGGTTGTATATGTGTGTGATATTTATGCATACTGTAATACCGATTCGCAATTACAATTAAGGCCACAAACCTAGTCAAGCTGAATACACGAATTTTGTCCATGCACCTTTCATCTGCACTGGAACTGTTGTTAATAAAAAATAAACTTCGGTTTAAAAATTTATTCTAGTAACCAAAAGCAGAGTATCTCTCTATGACACAAGTCAAATTGCCATTGTTCTGTTCCATTCTGGACAATAGGGGACCCTCTCAGCAGAACTCGATTAACTGCTATAGTTCATTTTAACCATTGACAGCGACATTACACTGAAGCGCGCAGCATGACAGATAGCGGGAGAGAAGACACAAACTAATCACTCTGTTTGTGTCAGCTCTAGCAGTCCGTGCTCTTTGTTCTTGCTGCATGTGATGATGCCCACCAAATTAGCACGAAAGCGTGTCCCTACAAAGGCAGTCAACTTGGCCGCAAGCAGTTAGCTCGCTGCATGTGTAGATTTTCTTCAAAACACCGTGACGACTGATCGCTGGTCGAATATCCAAACACGTGAAAAGTAATATACCAGGTATGATATTGGTATTTCAGCACTGGACACTTTTGCGATAAGAGAGGATGGAGGAGAAAACTATGAACCCGGAATTGTGTGATTTATGAAGGAGCACAGTACAGCGCTTTTGGGTCAAAAGGGGAGTGAAAAAAGCAAGTGCGAAAGCCACCTTCTCAAAAAATTAGTACTTGCCACCATGCATAATGTCAGGACAGGCAACCTCTTGAAAAAAAAAAGTGCTTGGTGACTCTGCGAATCGAACCAAGTACCTTCTAGATTGCAGTTGAGTGCTGTAACTGCTCGTCCACTGCAGCAGTGCTTGCATTCGCCCTATTGCTGATATATCGTCATTCCTTCGAATGACGCCAAATGCAAAAACGTCCCGTAAAACTTTGTCGAAAAAAGAAAAAATAGTTAGAATGCGTTTGCCCGAGGTTACTAGAAGATAGAAACCACCACGTGTGACTGTATAACCGTGCGCTATTTATTCTTGTACATTACTGTCATGACGTTGGGATAGCCGGCTCTAATGTAGGCTACCTTCTCATAGTTTGCCAATTATAAATAAGAAAATAAAATTATATATCGGCCTGTGACAACGCTAATCAACTATTATGAGTTCACTGTCACTAGTGTCACTTTCACTAGATGAATACTCAGTTTGTTTCCATTATTGCTATTTAAGAAAGTTTTGGCTCATTAACTCAACTCTGCTACTTAGCATTGATTCTCACATCTAAAGACAGTCACACTTCATCTCGCTTTCTGAGTGGCTGTCACTCCCATATAACACGTACTCCACATTTTTATGCTCTCCGAGCATCTGACGCTGCTTTGTGGAAACATTCCCTGACGTCTGCTGGGCCATAAAATTGTCTTTATTATCTATCAATTTCAAGCTTTTGCGAAGCCGAAACGAGAGTCTCTCTCTCTGTCTTTTCGTCCTTTTCGCACGTGTGATAACGTCTCTCGACCTCAAGACTCGTATACACGTCCTTTGCTTTTGTTTGCTCACTCAAACAACGCTGGACGAAATATTTGCATCGTGTTTTGTGAAAGGCATTAGCACAGAGACACCTCCCGACGAGTCTTCCTCATTTTACGTAGACACATACCTAAGCGTAAGCGTATGCACGTTCTCACATTCCGGCTTTATAAAAATGCTGTGGTGCATGGAACCAGCGAAGTTCCTCTCACAATTTCATTTGATTACTGCAGTTATCTATTTCCGCACAATTCGCCTGCAGGCACCAAAGTCGCTCATGTGTTTTGTAATAAGAATATTGTAACAAAGGCTACCTTTGACTATAGGTACAAAATACCCTTACGTTCACCACTATACCGTGCTAGACTGCACCGAATTAGTTAAGTAGCAGCGCAGCTTCATTGAAATTTAAGGTAATTGGTCGCGTTAAATAGGGGAAGACATTTGAGGCACATTTTCAAACATTGGATGCATCGATTTATGTGTGGTTTCATTGATGTGGTGCACCTGGAGTGTTGTTTACTTGTACTTGGTGAGATAGTGCATGGATTGCTCGGTGGCTTAAGGCCATCGAGCAATTTGTTTTTTAGCTACAGTCGTTGATGAAAGGCGAGTTCTTGGCTTTGCACAGCCCACCAAAACGTCTGTTACAACGTACGCGGCATCCCGTAAGCGCTGTAGCAGACGCTCGCGGAACTGAAACTTAGATTCAGGAAATCATTGGCTGTCATCGTATACTCTCGATGCTAGACGCTTTGCGTGCTACCTTGATATTATCGGCCCACACTTCTTTCTTGTCGTTTCATCGGCTATCGTGTGTCCTCCTCGCCCTCTTAAGTGCCGAATAAGTTAAATTCATTCCTGCGCTATAGTAATGCCTCCAGATAAGAGCCGCGAAAAAAACGACACACAACAGAGAAGAAGTACACGGGACGCACCAGCACCAACTCGCCCAACTTTTTACTTTACCGGATCCAGATAAGAGAATTCATGGCTAAGAAAATGCGTAGCCAAGAGAAAGCTTTGTGAATTCGGCCCCTGGTGATTTGCTGCTATATTTGCTACTATAGTATCGGCTTAGATAAGGTATTGGTTTTATGAAGTATTGCTAGAGACTGTTAAGTTTAGCTATAGGTTTTGCTATTTTCCAAGTCCCATCCCACCCAACTGGCTCTTCCGTTCTAGTCATGTTCCAACTCGAGCACCTCTCTGAACAGACATCCATTTTCTTTTGTTTCTTCTTGATTTTCTTTCTTTTTCTCTCTTCTCCCTGTTTTTCTGTCTTTTTTGTCTTGCTATTTATTTCTTTATCTCTGTATTTACTTCCTTCCCTAATTCTTCCTCTTTTCGACCTTTATTTTCTGTCCTCTTTTTTCACTTTTTTTCTTCTTTTTTTCTCTTTCTTCCAGACTTTTTTGTTTTTCTCTTCTCTCTCACTACCACTTCTCACTCCCCATACAAGGACATGTTACGCTCTGCAGGCGCGCCTGAATAGCCGAATGGTTACGAAGTTCGCCTTGGAATCGTGCGTACGCGGGTTTGAATTCCTCAGCGCCGAGGTTTTGTTTTCGCCCGAAATTCTCTTACTCTCTCACTGCACTCGTTGCCCGGCCCATCGGAGTTATTGCATCCCACACTGGAAAAATCGGCGCACTTGTTCTGGGCGCGAAACAGAAGAGGAAAAAGAAATCGCGTTGTCCGTTAGTGATGAAGATAGTTTTACTGGCGACGACTAATGGCAATAGGAAAGCTTGACTGCGCCGCTCTTAAACCGAACGTCTCGGTCAAGCGGGTTAAAACTGCAAAACATCGACGTACATGAAGGAACATCGACCATATACTTCCTCTCTTTAGTGGTATAGGCATGTGCGCAGCATCGAGCTATCGCTCCGTTTTCTTCACAGGGACAGAAGAACGCGCCGTAGGGACAGCTCCAAGTCGAGCGACTCGTTCAATCTCAGCGACCATGTATCACACGACAGCGCGACGAATGTCGTTTAGACGTGCCAAAGCCGCAACTCGGTCGACCGCCGAGGAGGAAACCGCTCTGCTTTTCTTGGCTCGGAGCCCCGCCGCACCTCGGGACAATGCTGTGCGGATCAGGAGAAGCTCGGCACCGTGATTTGTTTTGATAGTGCCGACACAGCTACGCGCACTTTCGGCGGGGCCCTGTTCGCGGCTCCGCGCTAGCCCCTGTGGTGCTCGACTTTGATCTTGCGTGAGCGTTTGTGTATTTTTGTAAGACTGCCTCAGTAAAACTGCGTTAAAACTCTGATAATCGGTTTCGTTTGATTCCATCGTGGATTGCAAATAATGAGCGTCCAACAGAAATTTCTGAGTAAATGTAAAGCCAGCTAATGGCAACACCCCGCCATAGTTCCCATATTCTTTGTCAATACCGAATTATTGTAGTACTATACGAAATTATTGAAATATTCTAATTTAACACATGCGCTGTGAACTAGTTCCAGTACTCGGGACGATTCCGTTTTATTTTTCTATCAGGCTCATTTATCACGAACGCGCAAAGCGGTAATAGTAAATAGCAGGTGCCGACGTGAATGCCGCCCGCCTCGGCCTATAAACGCGAAGCTTCAGGACTGTTTTCGAACCACTAATTCAATGAATCAATCACACAAACTTAGCGTGAGCCGTAATTAAATCTTCATGATCCTATACATCAAAGCAAAATCGAACAGTATACTATCAGCTGGTGCGAAAGAGTTGCTCCTCGAGATGCGCCTAAATGAGGCGCTGACAAATGACCAGAGCCTCGCTGGCAGCCAACGGCGCTGGAGAAGCCAAGGAGCGCTGCCACCGCCGCTCACCACCCGCCCCATCAATCAGGAGGAACAAAGCACACAGCCTGTAGCCGCTGCCTTCTTCGCGCGCGCCACACGACAGCTCCCTGAGAGCACGCACGCTTTGCAAACCGGACCTGTCAACTTCTTTGATGCTTGTTCAGGCTACATCAACAAGCAGGAAGCCGGTGTGGTCGATATCCTCGATAAAACTTCACTTTCGCAGCCGTGAGCCCAGCGTCGGCCGTCGCGACGCTGGGCTCACGTCTCCTAAATTCTGCGCTGGTCTCGAGTCTCCGATGCGAGAACAGGCCGTCCCTTTTTGGTTCAGCGAGTGACTGCGGTCCTTGCACCAGTGATGCGAGACGCGGTAGCGGACTGCGCGTACAGGCTCACCCTTGACCCTGCAGTAGGTGAAGCAGCGGTGGCACTTTCGGCAGCAGCAGCAGCAACAGCGTCAGAAGCCCTTGGCAGAAACCCGGCGGTGTGCGCGGTGTGAAGTTTCGCGCCGGCTCCTCGCGACGGCGACTCGACACGCGCCGAGTGCTTTTTAAGGGTCTCCCAGCCCGATACCGCGTCTCGGGGGCTTGCGGCAATGCGGGGCTACCCGCTTGTCCACGCGCGGCTGTGGCGAGGGTGGAGTTTGAGCACTCCCGGGCCGGAAGCCGCGGCTGCGTGGGTGGAGAGTTGGCGAGCTTCCGGGAGCCCGGGCCGGTTGCCCCTACAAGGAGCGCCCGGTGGGGGCGGACGGGCACTTGGGCCCCGGCGCACCAGTCCTGCTCGCACAGCCGTCCGCAGCAGCCGAGCTTTCTGACGCCTGCCTCTTGAGCCGTACAACAGCCATCATGGTAAGTGGCCTCGGCGCTGGGGCTTTCTCACGACGCGCTGATGTTTTGCGAGGCAACCAACCCTTCGGATTCACGCTATCAGTCTGCCGTTGTGAAAGAACCGACAGCTTTTTCTCGCAGTCATAAGTTGAAGTCGCGTGCAGTGCACCAACTTGTAGATTACTACAGACCAGCTTCATTAGTAAATACGGTTTCCGTCACATATTGCGTTCTTTGCAAAAAAACTCGTAATTGTAATTACGCAGAACATGAGGCATTATTGCTTGTTGCAAACTTCATTTTAGTTTTTAACCTGTTTTAACGCTTGTTAGGAATCGCTTATTTCCCATGAGCAAATGCAGTTTAGATAACTGAAACATAAACACTGGTTCACACCGATGGACTTTACCTCGCAGTTTTGAATGTCACTTCCAGACATGTGCTTTTAGCGTTCGTGTCAACAAAGCTCGGTCGATTTGTAAATTTAGCTTTATATTCACGTTCGATGCGAACTCGTTAAGGAGCTCGTGATTTGCCTTATGTGCCACTCGACCATATTTTTATCTCGTTGAACCATGCAAGTGTTCCTCTTTGCCACAATACAGAAAGGGGGGGGGGGGATAATGCTGGGTAACCGTATCACTTCATACTTCCGTGCTTTGTGGAAGAAACATATTATGTTTCTTTTATACTTGATTAAAATGAAAATATTGATCCTGCTTATGCCTAATAACATCTCGTGGGTCGGATGTCGGAAACAGTTGTTCCGTGTCACGCCTGTAGCCCACTTTGAGTGTAGGTCAGTGTTCCGAGGCACTCGGAAGCCGCCCGCTCGTCTTCGTCACTTCGGAGCTGGGTGGGCACCGGTGAGGGCGAAAACAGTGAATCAGACTGATTTGTCTCGTGGCAAGGGCAGTATGCAGTGCTCTCGTGGTGTGTCCCGCTCGTCGGGGGCCGAGCGGGCCAAGTTTGTTTCCATCCGGAGAAGCCTCGCACAGGTGGAGACAAGCTCGGCTCGGTGGCGGTGACGGATGATTGAGATCCACGAGATTAGCGACGCTTGACGCGGCAGGCACGCTTTCAAGTGTCACGGCTGCTTTTCACGCTCGGGCGTCCCTCTCTGCTGCCGTGCATTGTCTGTGGCTATGCCGGGTGACGGACGTGAAGAGATTGCGGAAGGAAAAAATACGAGGTTGGGGAGCGGAGACCAATCAATTGTCCAGTTTCTGTTTTTTTTCTGCTTTTACTTTCACTGAATTTCGTACGGTATAGTACAAAACTTGCAGCATTCCTGGTGGCAACGTCAAACACGTCTTACTTAGTAAACAGAAAGAGAGATAGAGAAAGGCAGAGAGCTCAAGTGAAGTTGTAGCATCCGGTTTGCTACCCTGCACTAAATGGAAAGGGAAAGAAAGATGAGAAGGAAAGAGGAAAGAAAAATACACGCGAGAAAAAGAAAAGTGAGGGGGGGGGGAGTCACAGAGGCCACGCGATCGCGTTTCTGAATGAAAAAAGACGGAGCCAAAACTTTTGCGACTTCATTCAAAATTTTCTGTATGGAAATCGTAAAGTCCTGGAATGCCCATTCTCCACCTGGATTGTATTGCAGCCTAAGCTTCATGTTGGTTACATGATAACTGTATCGTATATTACTGTCCGTAGTTAGTGTTTTTTTAGAAAAGGAATTAAATAACGAGTTTTAATGCATTCGTGCACTCGAATGCGGACTATCTAACCCACAGTAGAGGAAGAAAAACACTTATTCACTTTACCAGGAATATATACACTGTTTCGTTCTATTCTTCCAATATGATCTGTACACGAGGTTATTTGCGCAATGTATACGCCATCTCTAAGTTATGCATACAATAAAAGTAATGGCCATTATTAAGATAAACTGCCACTAGAGGGAGTGGTTAACGGTGTCGGGCTGCTAACCTTCTTCTAAATTGTCTGGATTAGAGAGGTCCATGTACTGTGCTATTTCAGCGTACGTTAAAGAAACCCAGGTGGTCGAAATTATCCTGCGCCTCCACCACCCCAGACATTGCCCGAGTTGCCTTGGGACGTTAAACTTGGAATAGACGTCGCGGAAATACAATAGTTATTGATGTGTACAAAGCGCACACGCAAGCGCTGAAAGGTAACGCAAGCTTCATATTGGCTGACACGGAACGTTGAGTATTGCAAGGTATAGTGCACCGAATTCTGTTAGGGCGACGTTGGTTTCCACAATTCGAGATTATCTAACCGCGATGCACATGAAGAGAATAGCGTATACTAACGCCTGAATAGAGATCGTACGGGCGAAACTTACCATTTGTGAATCCGTAAAAGAATATGAGTGGTGTGCTCTCAACTTGGAGTCCATAAAAGTTACACAGGGTGTGATGTGTCACAAGCTACTGTTCACATAAGAGTAAAAAGAAAAAGCAGAAAGTGATTGCGAACTATATGCATAAAGGTGTCACGGTAAATGGCAATATAGCAAATAAAAGTCCATTTTACACATGGTGCTACTTATATCAGTGTTGTTCGGTATGTCCCCACCATCTACACCTATACGTGAAAGTATGGATATATTCAGACGGCCCCGCAAACAGAAAATGTAGCCGCACGTTAGTTGGCATGCAATGCTCTCTATCGGGTATATACGTTTTCTTCGTGCTGAAATCTAGGTATGTTCAGCCAGGTATCTAGTATGTTCCGTGTGCCATAAGCAAGCCCACTGTATATTTCACCTTTGGCAGGCATGCTGACAGCTTTGTCATGTCATGACGCTGTGCGTCTTGAAACGTGGTGCTTGGGCACCGTGTTCATAGGGTGCTTTAGGTGAATCGCAATCTCCTGTGCCTGATACCACCATTGACAAATGTGCACGTGCATCAATATCGTAGGCACGCATGACACTCACAAGGTTTTACGAAACTGTGAAGCTAGCTGTTGCAAGTAAAAAAAAGATGTATCCGGTAGACCGAAACGTTATATATACCACGCGTACACTGTCACCACGTACGCGACACGTTGAGTGTGTGAAACAGACGCCATGCGCTCAGAACGAGGTGATTGCGTTTACTAGCAAAGTTCCGCGCTTGGAACGGCACCACCGTTGCTAACGATGGCGGTTGATGCAAAGTGTATTCCAAACAATCCATTCACTAGACCGAGTGCCAGTCAAGAGATGCTGGCCATGCGCAGAGTTTCGCCACCACCCCCCGCCTTTGCAGTTATTTGACTCCGAAAAAAAAAAAGTTTCGCAGTGGATGCAAAAGTGAGAATGCAGCGATGATGAGCTTCTCAGTGTACGGTCTGCCTTTGTTTCCAGGCTTTTCGGGGATGAGTAAACAGTTCTTGCAATGCAACACCAGAAGTATTGATTATTGTCGAAAACCTAAATGGCCATAACGCTTCAGTTTGGACTATGGAGGGGATGGTGTAAAGCTGTGGGATGCACTTAATTGCCGCCTGATCCCCTCTGGCAATGGAAGACCTGGTGGTGAGCTTGAATAAAGGTTGCCCAGCACAACATTTTTTAACAGTTACGTCCCATATGCATGCATGCGTATCATGAGCCAACTAGCTCTTCGCATGCGCAAGCGTCGTATAAAACGAGAATTTGTTTAGAAAAACAAAGGCAATTGGGCGCGCGCCAGTACTAAGTCACGACCAAAAGGTTCAAATTCATAAGTAACTGCCACTCTTATCCCGACCGTTGGCATCACGTTCGCTAAAATAGCCTCTAGAGTGTCCTCCTTCGAAAATAGACGCGTTTATACCGTTAAAACACCTTCGGAACTGTATCCCCAGTGCTTACCTTGTCCCTTACCCACCTTCAAGATTGACCCACGAAGCAGAACATGCTGTAACATATCTTCGCCGATGTAAAGTAAATCACCCTTGGTGTTCGTTCAGTCGATGCTATACAGGCAGCAAGCAACAATATTCTAGGTGTCCCTCGTTTCCCGGTAAAACTTTTTTTCGAAATACAAGAGCGCGCTTCCTTGCGCTGTGTGTTCTCTCAACCTACGGCGGCAGCTGTATTCCTTCAATTGGAGACAAGACCCTATAGTCGCACTTTCAAGCGCTTGTCTTTTATGCCTGCTTATATGAAAAATGCGAGTCTGCATTTTCCGCGTCATCAAGCAAGCAAACTGCGCTTGAACACGCTATTTGCGGAAGTGACAAGCTTCCATGGGTTGGGCTAACTGCATCGCGGGAAAGCTGTAGCTTTACAAATTCGAAAAGGGTCTATTCCCGAATTCATCACTCCGTGAAACATCAGGTTACTTTCCGAATTTAGGCTTTCGTGTAGGATAAGAATAAACGCAGGCGTTGCATTCGCACATGTCAACAAAATGGCCAAGAAAGAGAATGCATATAAGCGTATGAGCGTGAGCGGTATGAAATCCGAAGTTTGACGAAAACCCACGTGGTCGACAGGAGGCACCGTAAAAATTAAGAGGCAACCACCATAATAAAAAAAACAAGTTAAAACAAACAAAAGTTCTGGCTCCCACACGGGCGCCTTGTTTTCGGTCAAATGACAGAGATACCGCTAATTTCGTCGCCAGAACATCTGTCAGAAAGCAGTCTTTAAAAAAAATGAAAGAAAAGGAAAACAGCAGAGAAGGACGAAAGGCTCGAAGCGTCCATATGGTGGACAAAATCCGAATAATAATAATATACGACAACAAGAACCTTGTAAAAAAAATACATGTCACACCAAGCTTGCTCTGTTGCCATACTGTTTGTGTTGTTTTTTGTTTCTTTTTAAAAAAAGAGTATTTTAAAAATCTTCAAACAGGCGTCCATACGTTGTTTTCAATCATTTATTGTTTCTTTTAAAAAGTAATAATTACATGCATAATATCAACAATCATGTATACAGGCGAGTTCATCGTATAACTGCTACGAAGGTGTCTTTTTCACTATATACTGACAAAAAATCCTGATTACTTCTTGTTGTTTTTTTTAACTGAAGTCAAATATTGGGAGAAGCCCACCACGGGCTAGTCGAAAAT